TTCTCTCGGAGCCCCAGCAGCCCTCGAGCTTCCTGAACAAAAGGCTACTTCGCGTGCACTGGGAGGAGAAGAGAAAATCCACCATTCTCGGATTCACACGGGCCACACCAAGACCAGGAGACCCCAGACTACGCCTCAGAGGTCACGGCGCACCTGAAGCCACAGGTGCCCAAAGGCTCTCACCCTCTTCCTCCGCGGCCCCCACGCTCGCCGTCCTCCCCGGCCGGTCCCCACCCTGGACAGACAGCTCTGGGCGCTGCGTGCGCGCTGCTCCCCCCGCACACCCGGGCTCTGGCTGGCGGGCGGCGAGGGGGTCACGGGAATGTGTCTCTAGAATGCCTATCTGAGTGCCTCAGTGCCCCGGAAACAAGGGCCAGCTCTGCAGGCAGGTCAGCACCGGATCTGCCCACCCAAGAGCCACCAGACCTTCTGCTCTCTGTGCCTCGGGTGTGACAGCAGAACCAAACGTTCAGAGTGGGACGGACAGAAGACCCCAGGTCAGACACCCCACCCCGCTCCCCAGGTTACCTGCCCAGACTAAAAAGGGGACTTGCCCAAAGCCCCAGCAGCCATGGTGCCCCCGTGGTACGTCCACCTTCCACGGAAGCACTCCTGACTCTGAGGTTCTGAAACCCTCCACATGCGGCCCAGGACACTGAGGTGCCTCCATTGCTTCTACAGAGAAGGAAGAAGACACAGGACCTCGGCTGTGCTTGCCGGTGAAGGGGGAGACTTCCTCCGCAGGGTGGGAGGCCTCGCTTTCTGCAGGGAAGCGGCAGGTTAGATGGGAGGGGAGGGCAACAGAACAGAGCTCGCACCCGCGTGAGCAGAAAGTCTGTCTGAATTCTTTATAAATGAGGCCGTTTTAAAAATTGATGATTCCCACACACGTGTGGCTCTTCTTAGTTTGCTGGCAAGTGGGAAGACCTCCGTGCTGACGGGGCAGAGGAAGAGAGGCACACACAGGCCCCACCGAAGCAGCCGCAGGTGACAGGCCCAGGGACCACTTCCCCGCAGCTCTTCCAAAGACACAGAGTGGCCTGTGGGCCCCCGCGGGAGGCGGGATCCGAAACCACCATGATTGCCCAGTGCCCCCGGAACCCGCCGGCCCTGCAGTCCCGCCCTCTCACTGGCCATCGTGCTCGGCAAAGCAGAGGCCACAACAGAATTTGCTCCACAAGGTCTGGACCCAGAGGGTCCGTGCCCGATGAGGTAGGAGTCTGCACGATGCCCCTTACCTCCAGCAGCCTTTGGGGATTCAGATGCCCCCTTCCCCACCAGCTGGTCTGCACTCTGTCCCCCCTCCGAACTCTGGGGCTGTTTCACTAGCATCTGTCACCTACATTGGGTCACATTAGTGGTTCTTCTGTCTGAGGAATGCTTACCTTGTCCCAACAGATCACCAACCCCCCCCAGAAACTGTCCCCAACCTGGCCTAAAGGCTGGCCCTTTGCAGCCTTTAGGGGACTGACAATCCCCGGGAGTTGTCACGAGTGAGAAGCCCTGGGAACATCTCTCTGATGTGACTCAGACACACGCTTGTCAAGACACAGAAGCTCTGTGAACACTGCTGAAAAAGATGTAAACAGCATTTCTCGATTTCTACTCTAAAATATCTAGGTTAGCAATTTCTAAGTCCAAACGATGTTAAAAAATATTTAGTAATTTTTTTCTTTTTTTTTTTTTAAGATGTTATTTTGTTTATTTGACAGAGAGACCACAAGTCGGCAGAGAGGCAGGCAGAGAGAAAGGGGGAAGCAGGCTCCCTGCTGAGCAGAGAGCCTGATGCAGGGCTCGATCCCAGGACCCTGAGACTATGACCTGAGCTGAAGGCAGAGGCTTAACCCATTGAGCCACCCAGGTGCCCCAATATTTAGTAATTTTTCAATCTGAAAACGACTTCCTAGCATTGCTGATAAGAAACTGAACAGAAAACTTTGTGTAGATCATACTAAGGTCAAATCTGACCCCGCCAGCTCCTTCTATCCTTCAACACACAAGTTTTTTAGTTTGTTAGGAAAGGGTATTTCTCTTTTCCACGACTTTTTCATCAGCAAATAACGTCACAAGCCGTACTGTGCCATCACCAGCAGACCAGAACACAAAGCCTGAGTGTGCATACAGAAGGTACTCAAAGTGTTTAGGCTGAAACCTTCCCTGACCTCACGGTGTGGGACCCCAGCCACGCCACAGCCGGAGCTGGGGGCAGAGGACACGTGAGAACCATGACCAGGATGAGACCGTGTTTCAAACATTTAAATCGGTCCTGTGGCCTGGATAGAGGTTTTTCATCACCCACTTATCCCTAACAGCCAGGCCATTAAAGCAAACTTGTCGCAACAGGAAGGATCTCTTTTTTCAGGGGAGGGGGCAGACATACAGGGGAATTCTTGACAATCTGCCATCACTGAACAGAGTTTAAGGTAAAATATATTAGGTCAGAAGGAAGAAAAAGCCTGTATGGTTATGAGAGCATGAGTCACAGAGGAGCGTGAAACCCCAGAAGAGGGAACTGTGGCGGCAGGTGAGGTGACATGGGTGTGAGTGATGACGAGGGGGAGCAGTGGCTTCTAGAACTTTGACACAGCAGCCAAGAAGGCACCTGGGCACAGCGAGGAATTAGCTCAGGTTCCTGGGCCGTGGCGCTTTCTAAACACCGAGCACTAAATGGGTCTCCTTGGCGCTTAGAGGCTGGTCTAAGACCTCTGGTAGAGAACAAAGCAGAAATGCTGTACAGCTGTCCCAGAAACACAGACCACAGGGACAGAGTGGCCCAATTTCTCTTAATTTGAAAAGCCCCACATAAGGACAATGTTGGAAAGTTCACTCTGTCAAAACTTAATTTTGTATAACATGTTTGTAAATAACACCCCGTCTGGCAGTGGAAGGACCTCAGGCTGAGGGATTTCCTCCAGTCCTGGAGTGGTCTTGCCCTTTCCAGTTCACCCCACCCTCTCTGTGCCACTGTGTGCGCGCAGAACACAGGTGTCATGAGGGTAACGGGCCACAGGTGTCACAGGGGCAAGGGTCCAAGGGACTGCCCTGGATAACTGAGTGGGGACAGAGCATCGAAGAGGGTGGGTGCCCCTGCAGGCAATGGCCAGCCAGTCCCGAACACCGGACAGTGGGTGGACACAGCTCTCTGAGCACAGGAACAACGCATTTTCAAACAGAAAACCGCTAACCCTGAGCAGAAACTATCCATCAAAACAAAATTCTTACACCCATGATGATGCCCGTGAGAGGCTTAATTAAATGTCCCAAGGCTGGCCTCCAAGAAAGGCTGAATGTGGGGCTTCTGAATAGCCCATGAGTGAGTGCATTCCACCGTGTTCTAGAGAAAACTCAGCCACCACCCCTCCCTCCTTCAGTAAAGGCCGTGAAGACAATCACTGGCTTCGTAGGGGACCCAGGGCCAAAATCTCAGTACCTGCAGCCCAGGTGCCCCTAGCATTCACTTAACCCTTTCTGGGGAAACAAGGTGTCCCAAAGTTTTCAGTTCGAAATATCTAAAACTATCACAAAACAAACCAAGAGGACGGTGCTGGTAAAATACTCCTGTTTACTTCATTATTTATGTGAAAAACCCTCCTCTAAGTTTCCTTTTGATGAACGCACCATTTTCCATTCTCGCAGAGTGGAAATACTGCCCGGTGCAGGCAGCGTGCTGGCCGGCCACAGAGCGAATCCACAAGTCTGCTACCCAAACGGAAAGTTAGCTTTGATAATAAATCCGATAGGAAAGACTCTACAACTGACACAATTAAAATGCGCGCGAGCACTCCGTGCACAGGTGTCCGCGCCCAGCAGTTTGCAAAACGCGTTGCCTAATTAGCATTTCTTTAAACAATGCTGATAACAATCTTGCCACCGTAATCCTCGACAAATGCGTCGCTGAGATTGTATCACGGAAAGCGTGGGGAAATGCGCTGAGAATCTCAGTCAAACTTTCTTTTGTTTGTATTTCCTCGGGGTCAGAAAATACCTGTTCTTCACCCCTTTTGGTGTGTACCCAGGCTCCTCGGTCCAGCCCTATTGTGCGTGGTCCGTTAAACCTACAAATAATAAATTTGTTAGCGGGGCCGGGGGAACCCCAACTAGCCACAGCCCTCCTCCTGGCGTAGAAAATTCCCCATTTGCCATCGGATTGAGTTGTCAGACAGTGACTCGTGCTACCCTGTGAAACTGACATGTCTATTTACGGAGAAACAAAGACACGGCTCGCGGCGGACCCGGCTCCCTCCGCGCGCCCCGTCCGCTCCGCGCGCCCCTGTGGTTGCTCGGCGCGCCCCGTCTCCTCCGCGCTCCTCTGGCCGCCCGGCCCCGAGGCCCCTGCGCCCTGGCTCATCCAGCAATTAAAATGGAGACGAGGCCGGTGCCCGGCGTCAGGGGGAGACAATGACCCCCAAGGCCCGGTGGGGCGCGGGGACCCGCCCGCGCCCACCTCCCGCAGTTCCGACTCTTGGCAAACTCGGCGCGGGCGGGTCCGGGTGCGGCTCGGAGGCGCGGGCGGGGGGCGCGCGGGACGGCGCGGGCGGGGGGCGCCAGGACGCCCCTGGGCTGCCTCCTGGGGCCGGGCGTTGACGCAGCAGAAATTACCAGCTGGAAAATTCCCCTTTCGGAGGTGACGGGGGAGGGATCGCGGCGGCGGCGGCAGGAGGCGCGGAGGGCGAGGGGCGCCGGGCAGCCCCGCCGCCAACGCCTCCGCGCGCAGCCCCGCGGGGACCCCGAGCCGCCCCCGCCCGCCCCGCCCGAGCCACCCGGGTTCGGGGATCGGCAGGGGCCGGGCCGGGTCGCGACCGCCGCCCCCAGAGCCGCAGCCGGGGCGCGCCGATCGCCGCCAGGAGGGCGCCCCCGCGGGGCGGGGCGCATGGGGCGCGGGGCGGCAGGCGGCGGGGGCGCGCCCCGGCTCGGAGCTGCCGGGGCTCAGAGCGGCCCCGGCCGGGCCCGGCCGCGATGCGCCTGCCCGGCCGCGCGGACAATGAGCCGGCGCCGCTTACCTGTGACCCCATGGGGCGCGGGCGAGGGCGGGCGCCGCGGCCGCCGGACCGGCGCCGGTGATCGCCGCCGCCGCCGGGCGAGCGCTGCGTCCGGGCGGGTCCGAGCTGCGCGCTCGCCTCGGCTGCTCCGTCCGTCTGTCCGTCCGTCTGTCCGTCAGGCCGGCGCGCGCCCCCGCGCCCGCTCCAACCCCGCGGCCCCCGCCGCCCGCGCGCGCGCCCCGCCTGCGGACCCTGACCCCGCCCCCCGGCGCGCGCCCGGCCGCTGCTGATTGGCCCGCGCAGCGCCCGGGCCGCGGCCACCGCCCC